ACAGGCGTTCCTGGAGATTCAAGGCATCAGAAGGCTTGAAGTTGGTCAGAGGGCCCAGGGAAGCTCCCGGTCCAGGCCTTGGGGATCGTAGCCTCCCTCCCCAACCCAGCGCATCTCAGACCAGGGTACAAGCAGTGGCAGGAAGACCACACACACTCCACCCGGTTGAATCACTGATTTTACTAAGTGCACGGGTCCACTGGGCACCCACTCAGCCCCATGGCAGCAGAACTTTCCAGAACTGTCCACACATGTCCTTCTGAGAGATTCTGCACCGGAAGCCCCCCGCCCCCGCCTGGCCACACCAGCCTGTTTGCGTGGCACGAACGTGTCCGTGTTGTTTGGTTCTATCCTGGCGAACCCATTAGAAGACTAGCGTCCGTTCCCTGGGCGTCCGATGGTGGTGCGCGGAGTGGAGACGTCAGCGTCCAGGGCCGCACGTTGCTGAGAGGAAAAGGCTGGTGCGGCGCCCGAGGCCACGTTCGAAATAGTTAGGGTGCAGTCGTACAAAGGCAGTATGAAGTATTCTTTGGAGCATGAACGAAAGTGCAAAGACAGCCAAAGGCAACCGCAGAGATGGGGAAGCTGCACGCGGCCAGGGGAGGGCAGGACTGCAGTAGGCGGCGCGGGGCGCACTGCTGGGGGCACACTGCTGCCTGGGGCCCTCGGGCCAGAGCGGGCGTGGCTTTGAGCCCAGGTGCCCCACCAGGGCTGCAGCCCCTGCTGGCACTTGTGTCTGGCTGGACCTGTGGACTCTCACGGCCCGGCCTGGAGGGGCCCAGGGGCACCAGGCAGCCTGGGGATCGCTGTCAACATGCGTTAAGGCAACAACTTTGTCAAACCCAATCTGAGTCGGATGTGCGGTGCTTAGCGATGTGTGCTCCTGCCCCAGAGCCCCGGGAACACGAGGCCTTGGGGGGCTGGGACCCCATCCTCCGGTGTCAGTCCGATGCCAGGGGAGTCTTGGGGTGGGTAAGGGACCAGACCCGGCGTCCTCGGCCAGCTAGGTGCACCGGAGCAAGCGTACAGGACAGAGCTGGCCCCCCCCTTGGATGGATTGGGGGGTTTCCCTTCACAGCCCCCTCCTGAGGCCTGCTGTCAGCCCCACCAGGACGGCACAATCCGGTGATCCTGACCCGTCCTTCTCACTCCGGGCGCGTGGCAGAGGCCTGGCTCAGGCATCCCGCAGGACAGGACCAGGGTCCTATCCACACCCTCGCCTCACGAAGCCCCCATGCTACCTCTTCTTAGCTCCTCGGGAGCCCCAAAGGGGGCTGGGACGGCAACCCAGGGGAAGTGACCAGCCGTGCGTGCGATCGCCCTGCCCTGCCGGGCCCTCTTACCACGCCCCACAGCCCTGCCGGGCCCTCTTACCACACCCCACAGCCTGTGTGCGCCGGAGAGGGCCGCAAGGTCCACAGGGGGCAGGGGCAGGCCTGGCTTCCTGTGGCTGAGGGCACGGGGCAGCATGTTGGGGGCTGATCACAAGGGCCAGGCAGGGGCCCCTGCTCAGATCCCAGCCCTGCTGCTACGGTGCAAAGCGGCCCCTCGTGGTGGCCTTGCCGTCCAACCGCCGCTACCAGGTCTGTTTCTAGGGGTTGTGACCTATGAGGTGGTGAACGTGTCCCCCGCTGACCTCACAGCCTGAGGCCAGGGCAGGCGTGGTGGCCTCCGCCACTTACAGCCGGGCCAGGTGACACTAACATTCTTGCGTCTCCAAAAAGAACCACCCCCCGCCCTCTGAGCAGGCTGGGGAAGGGACTGGAAATACCTGGGGACCACGCTTCCACAGAGAACAGGGCTGCTCTTTCCCAGGCCCTCTCAGTAGAAGACATGGAGCGGCCCGGCTGTGGCTGGGCTCCGCGGAGGCTCTGGACTGACCGGGTCCACAGCCAGGCTCTCCAGAGAGCTATCCGCGGCGCCAGGCCACTTTGCAGCCTCGGAGCGGGGACTGGAGGCAGGCAGGCCCTGCGGGGCCGCTCCGTCTCCTGCGCGCTCAGACCACAGGTGAGGGGCTCTCCAGATGGCCCAGCCTGACACACAGGGGCTGCGCCTGAAGAGGACGCAAAGGGAGATGCTGGGCTAGAAAATGCCCGTGCTCAATAGGCAACGCCAGCCCGGCGCAGGGCCTGGCACCTCCCAGGAGAGCACCGGGAGTCAGCCAGCACGAATCCGGCCTGACGCACAAGCCTGCCTGGCCTTCCGTGGTACTGGGACCTCCCTGGCTCCAACCTCGGCTTCTCCTGTTACTTGGCAGTCCTCGGGCTCCGGGCGGAGACCGCGAGCGCAGCAGGCCGGGGGCCCTGTGTGGCACTGGCAGCCCCCCTCCCACTGCTCCCCGGAGCCCAGATGGCTGGACCGCACTTAAGCTTCAGCAGAAGTCTCGACCCATCTGCCCAACACCACGAGTTCCGCGGAGCTCCCTCTCCAGACGTCGATCGAGAAGAGCCAGAGGGAAAGAATGGCCAAAGTAGGCAGCCTGTGCAGGGCGCCTGTGTGTGCACACGCGTGTACACGCAGCTCAGCTTGTACCTGTGCACACATTTGTGCGCCATGTGTGTACACGTGCGTGGAGCTGTGCGTGTGTGCATGTTTGAGCTGGCACACACTTGCCAGGGTGTGCGCGTGCATTTGTGTGTGCCTGCGTGAAACTGTGTCTGACATATGGTCTGTGTGCATGCATCGAGTACACCTGCGGCCACCATGTGTGGCCGATGTGTGTGTGCACCTGCGTGAACTGATGTGAGTGTGTGCGTGTGCAGACCTTGTGTGTGTTAGGTGTAGCCATGTAGTGTGAAAGAGTTGTTCCCACGTGTTTACTTGTGTGCACACGTGACTGCGCCCGTGTGCGTGTATGGAAGTGTGGCCTTTCTGTAGGTCTGCCGTGTACGCGCAGTGCAGGGAGGTGCTAGCGGCTGTGTGTGGGAGCGTGTGTGCTGGCGGGGGTGTGTGGGAGCGTGTGTGCTGGCGGGGGTGTGTGGAGACTTCCCCGTGGGGTGGCCGCTGCCCCTCACACTCACACTTGTCTTCACACTTGGGTGGGCAGTGGGCAGCTCTGGCCGGGCCTGGGGGGCCCCATCATCTCCGGGACCAGGCCTCCTGCCACCCGATGGGGGCGCCTCGCCCTCCAGGCCCGCCCCAGCTTCTCTTGCTGTGGGGCAGGCAGGCCCTGGCCGGCCCCCTCTGGCTGTAGCCCAGGGCCCCCTGCGGTCCGGCCAGCTGCCCAGTGCTCAGCTGCAGAGCTTGGGCCAGGTCACCCCAGTGCTCTCCGGGACAAGACTAGAGGCTGCCTGCCTGAGTCAGGACCCACCAACACCCTGAGCACAGGACCGGAGCTGGGGGGGGGGGTGGGGAGGCTCCTGCAGCTCCTGGGCCCATGGAGGCCTTGGAGGGGTGGGCGGGGCTGATGATGTCAAGGCGCACACCCCCCTCCGCCTGGGAGCTCCCCTCACGCCCCCCATCCCACCAGAGGGCAGAGGCCTGAGGGCCCCAAGCACCCCATCCCAGACAGCGTCCACGCTTCACCACCACGGACGTGGTCTCCCACGCTGAGCCACGCGTGGCAGAGGCCCTGGCGGTGTCGGCAGGTGTGGAGCCCGCCCCTGGGGGCGGGCATCGCTCCCGAGGCGCACACATGGACACCAACAGCCAGGCCCAGCCACACTTTTTCCCAGTGGGCAGGCGGGGTGGGGCTGGCTAACCTCAAGGCCCTAGACCAGCTATCGTTCCAGTCCAAACCAACCTCCAACAAGGGCATGAGACGTGGGCCCCTGGCCTTTCCGTGTCCCTCTTTCGGGGGTGCCTCAGCTGGCCAGCCCAGCCCCGGCACACATGGAGGGGGACTGCTGCAGAGCCTGGGTCCCACCCCACTGTGCTCAGCCTACAAACACAGATGTCTCTGGCCTGGGTCCCACGGGCCCAGCCCGGGCTTCCACCCTGCTTCTAGTGCTGAGCTCACGCTCCCCAAACTGGCTGCCCAGTGGACCCTGGGCCCCCGGCGGACAGAATGTCTCCCACGCTCCAAACACCGAGAGACGGCAGCTGTGGGACCAGCGTGTGGCAGCAAGGCTCCCGGGGTGCCCCCCTGCCCCAGTGGGCCCTCTGCCAGGCACCAAGAGGCTCCCGTGGGAAGGACCCTCTGCCAGGCCCCCCGTTTGATGTGGGGCACAGGGGCTGTGTGGAAAGGCTCCGTAGCCCACCACCGTGCAGCCCGCCCCGCTGGGGGCCACAGGGTGTGGAGCGTGGGAGGGAGGCCCTGGCGGAGGACGCGCAACCCCGCCCCCAGGTGGTGTCTCCCACGGCTAACCATGGCCTAGAGACAGGCCCTGACCCGTGATGAGGAGAGGAGAGCACAGGGGCCTGACCTCAGACCTCCTCACTGCGGTGCTGCGGCTCTCGTGCACCCCAGGGCCGCTGGAGACCCCAAGGAGCGAGGCTGTGATCAAGAGGGTCCAAGGGGCTCTCTAGGGAGCCGGGTTGGTCCCTGAGGCCTCGTCCCTCCCTCTCCCCCGAGGTTTCTGCCTGGCAGCGGCTCCATGGGGAGGAGGACAGGGAGGATGCAACCCTCGAGGTACCCAGGGGCCGGGGCACTGCCCAGCTGTGTGCACACAGACCGCTGGCCAGGCTTCCCGCGGCCGGCCAGGGCCAGGGGCCAGGTCTGCTCTTCACCACCTCCCGGCAGGGCCCTACCACAAGCGCATGCCCGCCATCGCTCCACCCCTCCGCGCGTGCAGGTGGTCTGTCCCCAAACAGAGCAGAGGGGCTCCAGGGCCCCCTGACCCAGCTCCCCTCCGCCGCTGGTTGGAAAGGAACTTTTGTAAAATGTCACCTTGTGAGCCCAGGATCCCGACCCGCCCACCACCCGACGCGGGCCCGAGCGTGGACCCCACGGGGGCCTCCTCCGCCCTCATGATGCGGTCACTCAGTGCAAAGGCCCGGGGCCCCAGCCCAAGCCGGGCGGGGCAGGACGTGGCAGGCGGGGCCCGTGGCCCACAGTGGCCTCACTTCCTGGGCCCGGCCCAGCCCACGTCGCCAAAGGGGCCCTCGCCCGTGGCGGAGCGCGGCGGCGGCCCGCAGGGCGTGCAGAGGTCCGAGTCCGTGTCCGACTCGCCCTCGGCGATGTAGGGCCTGACTTTGGCGCACGGCGCCACGGCTGCGTAGCAGCTGCTGAGGGCGTCCAGGTTCTCCCGGGACTGGGAGATGCTGAAGCCGCTGAAGGACCGCTCCAGCTCCTCGTGGTCCACGGACGGGATGGAGATGGACGTGTCACTGTCCCGCAGCGCCTCGTGCGGCCGGCTGGCCGGGGCGTCCTCCAGCCTCAGGAACTCGGTGCTGGCCCGGTGGCCACCGCTGTACGCAGACAGGGACCGCTCGTGCGCGGGGGGCGGCGGGATGCGCACCAGGGAACCGTGGTCCCCGACCGGGGAGGCGCCGTGCCGCTGGTGGCCCTGCTGCTGCCACGAGGTGGACGGGGGGCCCTGGGCCGGGGGCGCGGCCGGGGGCGCGGCGTAGTTCCTCTGGCCGGTGGAGCTGGTGGAGCGCACGATCTTGATGATGCAGCCGTGCTTGTCCGTGTGCTCTCGGCTGTCCTCGGGGCTGTGGTAGGGGGGCGCCGGCTCCGGCTCCTTGGCCCCAAAGTAAGCCTCGGTCTCGGCCGCGGGGATGCCCATGCGCTGAGTGTAGATGCTCACCAGGAAGTCCAGCTTCTTCTCCATGGACAAGACCTGCAAGACGGGGCTGCTGCGGGGCGGGCCCAGCTCACCCCGCCTCCGAGTCGGGGGGGGGGATTTGGGGTACTCCAGACCCGGAGCCGCACCACACGCCCCTGGATGCCAGGCAGCTCAGCTTCTCACCCTGCCGTCCACATGTGGGCCGGGCGCAGGCCCGCGCCAGAGCCAGCCCGGGCGGCCGTGCCCACGTGTGGTGACGTCTGGGGTGGGGGGTAAGGAGGGCGGAGAGGAGACCAGCCAGGATGACTCTGGCAAGCCCCACAGCACATGACCCCTGCTGAGGGACCCCACAGCCCCCCGGCCCGGACGTGGGGAGAGCGGATCCTGGGACCCACATCGCCCCGGGGGAAGGGGGTGTCAAAGGCTGGCCCCTTCCACAGCACCCCACAGCCCCTCAGTCTCGCCCACCTGCTTCTCCACCTTCCCGAGCCGTCCCATCATGCTGGGGTCCTCGGGCAGGTCCACCTCCGCCGGGCCCTTGGCACGGTCCTTGTCGGTTATCGCCGGGCCCCGCCCCACGATCTGGTCCACTCTGCCAGGAACAGAGACCCGGCCCCCGAGCGTGAGTTCAGCATCGTGGGGCCAGGCCCTGCCCGTCCTCCTGGAACAGCCCACAGCCCCCCAGATCTGGGCTCTTCGACCCTCTCAGAGCCGACCGGGGGGACCGCAGGCGCCAGGACAGACGGACAGCGGTGCTCGCGTGCTCGCGCTGCCTCCTTGCGCTCCGGTCCGGTCCCTGCTCCGTCCATTTCATGGGATGTGGCACATTACTGAGGAGTAAAGTGAGGTGCTTCTGCCTGCTCAGCCCCGCCCCGTCTGCGGTCCCCACACCCATCAACCTCGTGCCCTGCCCATCGCTGCCCACGTCTCCCCTCTCCTCCCTGGCTTGGGCTTGCTGGTCCTACAGCAAACCCAGGCCCCGGGATCCGTGACAGCTGGTGAGCATCTACCGGGACTCCGAGCACAAGGCCAGTTGGGTCCCCTCCCCTCCCCTCCCCTCCCCTGAGCTTTACTCCTGTGTAATGCACCATGGAGGCCTCCACGCTGACAGGTACGACATAGGCAACGCTAACGTCTCCAGCACGGACGACAGAAGCAGGAGGTTGAGAGCTGTTGCTCCAGGACAGGGGAGGGGACAGGGCTGCACGGGAAACCGCAACGCACAACCAGAGGCGAGGAGGGGAGCCGCAGCCAGCCAAAGCTGAGTGTGCAGCGTGTGCCTGTGGTGCGTGTGCATGCATGTGAATGCGTGTGTGTCTTGCAATGGGAGTGTATGTGCTTGTGTGTGCAGGACGCAGAACTCAGTCGAGCTGACCTGTCAAGGCCGAAGGTTGAGGTTGCCGGGAAGGAAGGTGGCTGTGTGCCCTTGGGGGCGGGGGGAGACTCCCATTTAACATAGCACCAGAGACCCTCAGCAGATCTGTGGGGAGCACAGGCCTGGCCATGCTGGGGCTGCAGGAAATACCAGCCTCCCGGCACGTTCCCTCACAGTCCATTCAGCAAGCCGTGCTCTGCACAGGGCATGCTGAGCAGGGCCACTCCAGACTGGCCACACAGCTGCAGCCCTGAGCACAAAGCACGTCCTGGGGCCCCCGGGCCCAGCAGCCCCACGCAGTCCTCAGCCTGCAGGGCCGCCCCCCCATACACTTCAGGGGGTGCCGGCTGACAGGGCTGGGGGAGGGGCAGGCTCATGCTCCACTAGCTCCATGCTGGGTGCATGCACTAGGGTCGGGGGAGGTAGGGGTCCCTCCGGCTCCAAGCAGATGCCAGTGGCCACGGCGAAGCCCCAGTGTCCACACAGTCCAGGCAGATGCACAGCCCCTTCACCCTGCCACATGACGGACCACCTGTCTGGGAAGTCCCAAAGGGAGCCTTGGCTCAGGGCTGGGCCTGGGGCCGCCTGCGGTCCCGAGGCCTCCTGCAGCCTCCTCTGGCTTCGGCCTGGGATTCGTGCTGCAGTGCTCAGCCTGTCCCGGGCTCTTCCTGGTGTGAACTTGCGTGGGAAGGCTGGGGGACTCCCAGCCCCAGCCCAGAACCCCTGACGCCACGCCCACAGCATGCCTCGGATGGCAGCGGAGCGCCCTCTGCTGGACACACTCGGGACGCACAAACACAACCCTGCCCCACCCCCGAGAGCCTTGTCTCAGGGCAAAGCTGCGGGTTGGAGCTCACAGTGAATCCTTAGCCCGAGGCAGTGATGGGAGGGGATGCGGGCTGGTCTGAGCTACCCTGTGCCGGTCACCTGGCTGCTCCTAAGCTGCCCGACAGAGCGCACTGCCCACTTGCCCTGCCCCTGCCCTGGCCGGTCCACGGGCGGGAGGGAGCAGGCCCCAGGGAAACCAGCAGGCCCCTGAATCTGAACTAACTATGCAGGGGCTGCTCTTGCCAGTGGGCTGTGCCCTGAACTCCACCTCCCCATGGTCGAGGCGCCCGAGGTTGAGGTGCTCAGCGCCCCCACAGCCAGCCGCGTGCGGCTGCCGTCACTCTGGGCAGTAGCGTGGGAGGCAGGTGCTGCTGCCATCTGCACCTCAAGTCCAAGGAGGGGCACAGGGAAGCAGTCCTCCCCCCGCCCCGCTGGGACCAGGCAGCCGTGAGCCTGGGGCCAGACACACACCTGGGCCTGAGTCTTGCCCAGGAGGCCACCGAAGGCTGTGGCCTGAGCAGGGGCAGAACGCAGCTTCCTGGCCGTTAGATGCTCTCCGCTCCCAGCCAGAGCAGGCCCTGCTGATGGGAGTGCTCCCTGCCCAGGAGGCTCTGCGCCGCCCGCCGGGGCTGAGGAGGGCCGACCTTCTTCCTGCCGTGTGTTTTTAGGGAGATGTGTCCCGCTGTTCCAGGAAGAGGGTGCAAGGGGCTGCAGTCATGTGGCCTGGGGCGAAGGGGCTGGCCATTCACAAAGACAGGCCAGGGGGAGGTGCTGGTCCTAACCTAGGTGAGTACTGGGGTGACTCTCTCGAAGGGGCCGTGGGTCCTTTGGCGGGGTACTTCTTATGCCGGGGAGTTGAAGGGGGTGGGGGGCCCACAATCATATCTATCCTGGCAGTGTAAACAAGAAGAGAGACACCAGCACAATGCATCATCGAGCAACTCCAGGCAGAGCTGCTGGAAATGCAAAGAAACAGCAAGGCCGCGGTGATCCTGCAGTGCACGCCACTCCACCCTGGCAGCACCGTGTTCGCAGACCGCCCTGGGCTCCCAGCAAAGCACTACACGCAAGAGCTGGGCCTCGGGGAGCCTGGCCCCACCGCCGGAGCAGAAGACGCGGGATAGACGGCCTCCAGACGCCAAGGCCCGGAGAGGGGGCTGCCCACAGGCAAGGTGAGCTCTGTGCGTCTGCTTTCCAGACAGAAGGGGAGGGAAGGGGAAATGTCAGGTTGGAAAGCTGTAGCGAGGCATGGAGACACAGCACAGGTCAAAGGCTAGGGGTTCCCACTCACCAAAACACAGCACAAGTCCGGCCACTGCTCTGGGGTCCCAGAGAGGCCCCAGCCTGAGCTTACTGGGGCTGTGACAGGGCCCCACCTGTAGGAGCAGCTAAAGGCCTGAAGACTGCTCCCTGTCACCTGTGACGAGTGGGTGGGCACAGGGCAAGGGGAGGCTGTGGACCCAGGCTGCCACCCTGCCCACCCTCTGACGTGACAGTCCCCAGGCTGCCCACCCCATCCACCCTCAGGGGTGTCAGACCCCAGGCTGCCCACCCCGTCCACCCTCTGACGTGACAGTCCCCAGGCTGCCCACCCCGTCCACCCTCTGACGTGACAGTCCCCAGGCTGCCCACCCCGTCCACCCTCCGACGTGACAGTCCCCAGGCTGCCCACCCTGTCCACCCTCTGACGTGACAGACCCCAGGCTGCCCACCCCGTCCACCCTCTGACGTGACAGACCCCAGGCTGCCCACCCCGTCCACCCTCTGATGTGACAGTCCCCAGGCTGCCCACCCTGTCCACCCTCTGACGTGACAGTCCCCAGGCTGCCCACCCCGTCCACCCTCTGACGTGACAGTCCCCAGGCTGCCCACCCCGTCCACCCTCAGGGGTGTCAGACCCCAGGCTGCCCACCCCGTCCACCTTCAGATGTGACAGTCCCCAGGCTGCCCACCC